GGTAAACTAACGGTAGAAATGGAGCCATCCAAAGAGGTTCCCGCTGCCACGAAACGTACACCCCACCTATAACTTAAAATCATTGTATGATAATCGCTTTCTTTTGGTCCCTCCTATTATAGATGGATCAATTATCAAAACCACGTTGACCCTAGCAGACCATTCCATAACTATTCAACCGCAGGGAGTGCCCTAAAATAAATAAGTACAACATTTCGGAGATTTTCGAAAAAAAACTCATCAAAACATCAATTGAAATATTCCATAGAATCGATATGTGAGCCATATGGGTCTAGCCGAAAGAAAATTGCACGAGCCGAGTTACGTGGACACCTCTACTCGGCTTCTTACTGTTTTTGCTGTACCATTTGTTGGCGAACCGTGATCCGAACACTCTTCTTCCAAATCAGATAGAGCAGTGCTTGGACGAGTAGACAGGCTACTTCTGAAAGAAATATTTCCTGTTCCATGTGTACATTAACAACAACAATATAGGAAAAAATCTCCATTGGAGAAAATACCGCGGAACTAGCAACTTGAATCATTTCAAGAATTCACTGAAGTGCAAATCTCTCACAGAAACGTTCCGACCAGGTTTGTGCCGAAGTTTCCCAAACTACTCAAAGTGAAGAAAGCAATTTCGGAAGAACTCAGAAGAGGACCTATAGCAGCGCTCACAAATCTTCTAGCAAATGTTTTTTTCAGCCATATCTTTTTTCTGTCATATTAAATTCGTTCAAATTTTGACATGTTTTGAAGATAACCCAGTTTTACAGTCTGGTCGTGTTTCTGTTGATTAGCTTATGTCCTGTATAGTGATGTGGGAAAAAAGACTATTTTGTTTGTAAATTCCTGATTATGGCCGAATTCCAAGTCAATTTCAAATTATTTCAAAAAGCTCACAATTCAACAGAAACGGTTGCTTGATAAATAACATTGAGCAAACTCAATACTTTGCTAATAAATTTTGAGACACTGTAACCTAAACAAGGCTAATGCATGGAATCAATACGCATTGATGACAACGCGGGGATATACAGGGGAAGCCAACTATATATAAAGAAGACCATTTTATGGGCGCAAATTCATCGATATTTTTCGTCGCAAGGCCGGTGCCGACGCCATATGTGAGTTTTACGCGTTGATTGTTTCCTTAGGTGTGCCCCGTAAGCAGAAGCAGGCCCTCCTTCACTGCCCCCGCCGTCTTTTACAATACGACGTCATCTGTCGCCACTGTCGAGCTCAACGAGGCTTATGGTAATCGCTCCAGCCTGAAGCTGCTTCATAATTTCTGCAATGGTTAACTGTTGAAATAGCTTCCTTAGAGACATTAGCTGTGACTATGCAAAACCGCTTTTGACCAGCGTTTCAGGGACGTCGTAATGGTCTATGGTACCTCGACGACCTCGTTGAGCTCGTACCGTGAACCATGTTTCCGTGGGAAAATCTTCTGATGTCGTCGGTGTAGAAGGCTGTCATGTAAGTTTAGATAGATAGAATGTGCTCTTTAATACTGAGTTGGGTCAGTCGATTTGATTCTAGCAAAGTGTGATTAATGCTGTCTGAAATGTGGAGTGAAGTGTCTCTTTTTTTTGGCCACCCCTGTAGGAGGGGGGGGGGCAAAAAAAAGAGTCACTTCTCTCCACATTCAAAACGCAATTAATCTCGAACTGCGGAACCAAATCAAATGAGCCCAATTGCATATTAAAGAGCACATTCAATTCTATATCAAAAGGTTACATGACAGCCTTCTACACAGACGACATCAGAAGATTTTCCCACGGAAACATGGTTCACGGTACGAGCTCAACGACGTCGTCGAGGTACCATAGACCATTACGACGTCCCTGAAACGCCGGTCAAAAGCGGTCTTGCACAGTCACAGCTAGTGTCTCTGGGAAGCTATTCACCGCTTAACCGATTGAAGAAATTAGGTTGCAGCTTCAGGCCGGAGCGATTACGGTAAGCCCCGTTGAGCTTGACGGCGACGGCAGATGACGTCATATTCTGAAGACCGTGAGGGCATTGAAGTAGGGGCTGCTTCTGCTTATGGGGGACACCTAAGGAATATTCTGCCGTAAAACATTCATCAACAACGGCATCCTGTGCGATGAAAAAATTGATGATGTGCGCCATAGGCAAAGTGACTTTTTTTGCCCCCCCCCCCGCTCAGCTCTTTGGGCTTGAGTAGAGCACACGAACCCTCTCAATAAGCTCTTCGGGGATGCCATGTTGTCGTAAGTCGTACCTTATCACGGTAGAACGCGATCAAAAAGCCTTCTCCAAGTCTCTAAAGGCAAAATGCACCGGCTTTTGTTTTTCACGGTGTTTTTCTAGCAGAAGACGAGCGGCGTGTATGGCATCAATGGTGCCGCAGCCAGTCACGAAGCCGCATTGGTTCACGGTAAGCTGGACTATGTCACGAATACGGCGATCTACAATTCGTTCGAATACCTTCATGCTGTGGGAGAGCAGACGAATTGGTCGGTAGCTCGTGCAATCTGCAGGACTCCCCTTCTTTCTTCCAAATCGGGATCGTCGTGCTCTGTTGCCAACTCTCAGGCACTTTCTTCTGCAACGACTGGTTGAAGAACTTCGTCAACCACTCTGCAGGATTCCAGCACTGTGACTTCCACAGATCGGCCGCCAAGTCGTCGGGACCCGTTGCTTTACCTGTCTTCATCTTCTTCAAAGCCGCCTCTGTTTCGCTCACAGTTATCTTCGAGACAGGGCCGTGGACCGGAGGAGCAGAAGGTATTGGCGGGTGTGAGAATTCTACTGTCGAGATTTTCTCGAAGTAGTCGTGCCACCGCTTCACAGCCCTCTTGCGGTCCATTACGAGTCGCCCGTTCTCGTCATTGATGCCGAAAGAACTTCTCGATCCTCGGTCTGGCGATGGCGAGCCTTGGCTAGTTTGTAAATATAGCGTTCGCCACCGCGCGTCTCGAGCTTCTAGCTAATGCCGAGCTGAACTGCCACGTCTTTTGCTTTCTTTGCGCTCTGGTAGTTGCTCCTGTTATCGTCTGACTTGTCGCCCAAAAACACTTGGTAGAGCCTTTTCTTCTCCCGTACTTTTTCTCTGACAGTGTCGGTCCACAGCCATGTCTGCTTGTCGATTTTCCGCCGTCCAGGCTTCGTAATGCCAAGCTCGGAGCGAGCAACACGGACTATCGCTTCTGTGGCACGTTTCCATGTTTCGTCGACAGTCGTTACTGGCGGTAGCCGAATGCGACTGAACAGAGCGGATTCCTTTTCTTTCAATCGCCACCACTTGATCCTTGCAGGCCCACACCGTTCGGCTTTCTTGGTCCTTGGAGGGGCAATCTTTAATGTGCAAATCAGTGGTCGATGTTGCGTGGCGACTGTCTCGTACGGCACTCTTCGCGTCCGTCACTAGCCCTCGATCACGTTGCCTGACGAGGACGAAATCAATTTGCGTTCTGGTATTACCGCTGTAGAACGTGATGAGGTGTGAGTCACGTTTCGATAGTTTGTGTTCACGATGGTGAGATTGTGCGAGTTTGCATATTCAAGAATTCGCTCGCCATCGGCGTTTCGTGACCCATAACCAAAACCACCATGACAGCTGTAACCATCTTTCGCAGCGCCAACGTGACCATTAAGGTCACCTGCGACAATGATAGCGTCCTCCGATGGTACCTCAGCTGTTTTCTCATCTAGCAGGGCCCAGAACTCGTCCTTGGCTCGTTCGGAGCAGCCAGTCTGTGGAGCGTACGCAGAAAAGATGTGGTATTGACGCTGCTCCATAGCAACAACGATCTTCATCAAGCGGTCATCGTAACGTTCGACATTCGCAATAGAATCGCGGAAACGTTCGGAGACGACCACACCGACGCCGCTGGTTGTCCTGGGACTGCCACAGAGAACGACTTTGAAGCCGCGGCCAATGTCCCTCGACTTACAGCAGGACCACCTCGTTTCCTGCACGGCACAGAAATCAATTCTTCTTCGCTCCAGTGCTTCTACCAACTCGCACGAGCGACCCGTCAATGTGCCAACATTCAATGTTGCAACGTTTCCATACGTTGCGGACTTTTGGACTAGCCTAGTTGCCCCCCGATGCCGTCCTTGCACCGGAGACCCTCGCATACTTTTCACACTCGCCGGGCTTTGCGAGTGCGCGTCGGCTCCCGCGGACGCCGTAGCATTATCTCGAGATTCATATAGCGACATTGACATTTGTGATGTGACGTGGGTGTTCGTAGGCCGGCCTGTCACGGGGCCTGTCGCCTGCATTCGAATGTCCGTGTCAGCTCAGCTCACAAAAGTGAGCAGTTCCCAGTGGCACCACTTGGAGGAACGGACCACCACCTTCTTGGTGAAAAAGGCTTGTCTTCGAAAAATATTTGATTTTGAACGAATTTGATGTGTTGGAAAGAAAGTGTGGCCGAAAACGTTTGAACATTAATTTATGTGAGATATCATTGGATATCAGTGCTGAAACCATTCCAAATCTGTAATTGAGCATCTCTGGTCAGACATGTCTATCTGTAGTAACTAAAACGGCCAATTATGAAAATTTCCCATGCGAGTGGTCACTTTATGTCGAAAAATATACACATTTCTTTTTAGATATGGCAGCAAGATGCGATGCTCTGCTGAACCCATCCTGGCACTATCTGCCATGAAGCAGTACGTTGTGAAAAAATCCAATCATTCGAATTTGTGGATAAGCTTTTACCCGGTTCGACAGTTTTCCGACAGAGAAGCGATAAACGTTGGTCGACTGTCCAAAGAGCGCCGTGCCGGATGACTTGGCGACGAGCACGTAGAAGGACACTGGACAACAATAGTCGGAGGAGTGATCAACAAGGCTTCCTGTAAGAATATCACCTGCACAAACGCCTTCAACTGGTGAGTTCAAAGTTCCAAAAAAGAGGATAAACACATCGGACAAAATGGTTGGTTAATTAAATTCAGGGATCTGAAGGTGTAGTGAACTATGCCTACCATGTCAACAATGGCAGGGTAATAGAGGCATTTCTGGGTGGTTGTGTATCTTTTTAGCACAATTCAATCAACTTCACAAGCTATTTCAAAAGTTAGACTTTGAGTTGAACACCGCCCATTCCATTGCGTGAGCTCAGAATTCGACGTCTAGCCGTTCACCCTTCCTTTATCGACAAAGAAAACTAAAGAAAGGTTAGGGGATGAGTTTTAGTTTTCGTTCTGACTGACTTGCACGAAGCCGTTCCCTGCATTGCACTCACTGTGAAGGGCCGCTTTTGGGTGGATATGGTATCGAAAGGCAAGCGCGCAACATCCACCTTTTGATACGGTATCCAGCCACTCGGCCTCCTGTGTAACCTTCAGGATCACACGCATTACCCGCACTGTGCAAAGCGCCAAGCGTTCCACACCGCACCGACGCGACACAGCCAGTCAAGAGGGAGAGCATGACACTTGCATGGATAGGGAACAGGGAGATTGAGAAAACGAAAAAGGAGCAAGAACGAAAAATTCATTGCTTCAATTTTCATATAATGCAAACCCCCTTCTCCTTCCCCTCTCCCGCTTGACGACAAGTGGAAATTGGGATGGACGTAAAACATACCAGATTGAACTAGCTTCACTGCAATTTTCGCCCGTGGGGTGGAGGGGGTCATAAGTGCTGCATTTTCTCCATTCGTTGTTCGCTCTGCTCCAATATCGCTTAACTGCGACGTACGTTTATATTTATTTTTATTTATTTAAACTGCACTGTTGGTGCACCCAAACAGAACCAGAACTTGTGGTGGTCGAACAGAAAGCGAAGAAGAAACAAAACAATATCGAGCTGTTATTGAAATGAAGCCAAGAACAACAATGCTGCGGCCAGAAGGCAACATTCCCCCAACTAGACGGCATCAGGCTGAGGACAACGAGTCGTCAACAAACCAGAATTTCATGCCGAATTGACAAGATCGCAAGAATCCATCAGTCATACGTGGATACCTGAAGTATTGAGAAGCTGCATCAAGCGCATTGGCTTCTCAACAAGAGTTTCAGTGCGTAGTACAGTAAAGTGCAAAGTCAGCCTAGGCAACGCAACCGACCGTAGTCCAAAATAGGTTCCTCATTCGATAAAAACGAACCAGGGAGACTTAAACCGTGAGACCCAGACCTAATTATTATAGACTTAGACCCTCCCCCCCCCAGTTCTCGTCA